CACAAATATTAAATGTCACAACTTATTATATAGTCACAAATTATCAAATTATCGATCACAAATTAACAGTTTTATAGGTCACACATTATTTTTTGGTCACAATTTATCTTTTTCATTGGTCACATATTGTTTATTGGTTACAAATTAACCAATTTAATGGTCACAATTAACCAAATAATTTGTGACCACCAACGCACCACTGCTGCTTTCGCCGTCAGAACCACCACCACCACCACCACCTCGCGATAGCAACACTACCACCTCGAACAAATCAACACAGTGCGGAAAACACCACCACGTCGTTGCACCGATCTACCATTACCTTGATAGACTCGTTGCCACCAACATCTCAACACCACCATCACCAAGATCCACCGTCACAAAAAAAACCACAGCCACCATCACATCCAATATAACCTCTGCCATCGTTGGATCTAACCAAAGTCATTGTCACCCTAAACACCACCACCACAAGCACCACTACCACCACAGCCCCCATCCACCAGCTGAAAACACACCCAAAATTTCACAGCAGATCTCAAAGCTACAGGTCCCGGCTATGGCACACAACAGATCTCGACCACGTGTGCGGTGATATAGTTGCGGCATAATGTGGTAGCGCATGCAGTAGCACCACTACAACCACCAACAAAAATGACCACCATCGCCACCTCCAAATCCAACCAGCCACAACAACCACGGCACCACCTCAAATCGAAAAAAGAATATCAAAAGAAAGAGAAGCCGAACTGCCTGGAATTACTCCGTCGTCGTTGCCGTCACTACGGTGCTGCCGCCAACACCAACCAGGCACCACAACCACGGCACCGCCACCCCCACCACGCCGCCAACACTGCTAGAGAGAAGGAAGAGAGAGATGTAGAACGACAGAACGATAGTCACAGTCTTGTTTGCCATATTGTTGTTTTTCTCACCGATAACTCCTTGAACCGCTGCCTCGTCGATGGGGCAGAGTGTCTTTCACGAGGATTTCTATTACCAACGAAGAGAGAGAGTGAGGGGGGGGGGGGATAAAATTAGGGTTTTATGTTTGAATAATTATGATTCAGAGAGAGAAGATAGATGAAACAGATGACTTTATATCTAATTTTTGTATAAATAAAGTTTATATCTGAAATTGAAACTTTAAAATTCTGGTATTGTGTAATTTCCACTTATTTAATCATATTCATGATACACAAATAGCTCGTTACTAAATTAGATATTTTATCTTACACACATATACATAATTAAATTTAAAAAGTTCACTTATAATTAAATTAGTTTATTATATAGTAAATAATTTTTATTGATTAAAGATAAACGACTTATTTGAACAGTATGAAATGTAACATGTTTTACTAAATTTAAAAGTATTAAATTTTTTATGTATTCTTTTCATATATTACTCATTTATACTTGTGAGTTAAAAATTTATTTATTTCGATCATAAAATTGATGTCATTATTAGAATAAGTAATATGCTATATATTTAATTTTATTAGTTTAAAAATATATTTGTTAGAACTTTGTTACGAGTGTTTAAAAATATATTATGACCAATATTTTGAAAACTGACCTGGTCATTGACCCCAAAAAAAGTGAATGAGTTAAAAATTTATTTATTTCGATCATAAAATTGATGTCATTATTAGAATAAGTAATATGCTATATATTTAATTTTATTAGTTAAAGATATATTTGTTCGAATTTTGTTATGAGTGTCCAAAAATATATTTTGATCCACATTATTATGAGTGTCATAAATTTAATCTTTTAAACTAGATCTCGTGCGGTATAGAGCATTTTTTATGGTAAAAATTTATTGAAAAAAATTAATTAAATTTCAGTCCACCCGAACATATGTATCTGACTTCGTCCCTGTGTGAAGCGGGTACATCTTTGGACTTAGACTTGTAGTTTTGTATAATAGGTTTAATTTGATTTTGAATATGCATGAAGTTTGATTTTTAGTTGTGTATTGTTGGTTTACATGTAGTTGTGTGGTATTGGTTGTACAGCTGTGCTATGGGTACAATTATGTACTCATAGAGATATCCATAATGGACACCCGACGCCTCCCTATTGGTGGGGCGTTGATTGCAATCAGCGCCCCACCAATAGGGGGCGTCGAGTGTGGTTGTAAGAGGTCTTCTGGATATACAAGTTTTTTGAAAGAGTTTGAATATTTATTTTGTAAGATACAACAAAATAACAAATTTTCCTTTTTGATTGCATAGCAAGTTAATCTATCAAAAACTAG